AGCTGATGAAGGTGGTGAATGAGGAGTGTCCCACCATCACCCGCATCTACAACATCGGCAAGAGCTCGCGGGGGCTGAAGATCTACGCCATGGAGATCTCCGACAGCCCGGGCGAGCACGAGACGGGTGAGGAGGGGAAGGTGGGGGGGACCCAGCCACGATCCCCTGGCGCAGGCAGCGGTGTGGGTAGCAAGCTGACCCTGCCCGTACCCTGCCTGCAGGAGAGCCCGAGTTCAGGTACACGGCGGGGCTGCACGGGAACGAGGTGCTGGGCCGGGAGCTGCTGCTCCTGCTGATGCAGTTCCTGTGCAAGGAGTACCAGGACGGCAACCCCCGGGTGCGGAGCCTGGTGACCGAAACCCGCATTCACCTCGTGCCCTCCCTCAACCCCGACGGCTACGAGCTGGCCCGTGAGGCGGTAAGGGGACGGCAGGGACGGGGACAGGATGGTGGGATGAAGTCCCCGGCCTCACCGCTGCCCGGGGCTGCCCACAGGGCTCTGAGCTGGGCAACTGGGCGCTGGGCCACTGGACAGAGGAGGGCTACGACCTCTTTGAGAACTTCCCTGACTTGGCTTCGGCGCTGTGGGCGGCTGAGGAGAGGAGGCTGGTGCCCCACAAGTTCCCCAACCACCACATCCCCATCCCAGAGCACTACCTGGCTGAGGATGCCACGGTGAGCCATGGCACGGGGCATAGCAGCGTGGCAGCAATGGGGAGGTGGTGTCTCACCTCCCACCACTGTGCCCACCTTGGCAGGTGGCAGTGGAGACACGGGCCATCATGGCGTGGATGGACAAGAACCCCTTTGTGCTGGGAGCCAACCTGCAGGGTGGGGAGAAGCTGGTGTCCTACCCCTTCGACACGGCCCGGCCCATCAGTGAGACGCCGGCGGCCGCCCCTCGCCCACCAGACGACTACGAGGAAGACAACCCCGAGCTGCAGGAGACTCCTGACCACGCCATCTTCCGCTGGCTCGCCATCTCCTATGCCTCGGCCCACCTCACCATGACCGAGACCTTCCGTGGGGGCTGCCACACGCAGGACATGACCAACGCCATGGGCATTGTGCAGGGGGCCAAGTGGCACCCCCGGCCTGGCAGTAAGTGGGTGCCACGCCGCACAGTGTCGGCTTGCCTGCCCCACGCTCCCTCCACGTGAAGGTGTGAGTGAGCGGCCGGGTGGACACTTGGTTGGTTGGTTGTCTCGCAGGCATGAATGACTTCAGCTACCTGCACACCAACTGCCTGGAGCTCTCCATCTACCTGGGCTGCGACAAGTTCCCCCACGAGAGCGAGCTGCAGCAGGAGTGGGAGAACAACAAGGAGTCGCTGCTCACCTTCATGGAGCAGGTAGGTGCGGGGACGCACCGGGCATGGTGCTGGCAGCTGCCCTGCCTGCCCCACGCAGCTCCCATCGTCCCCTTCCCTCGGTAGGTCCATCGGGGCATTAAGGGCTTGGTCACAGACCAGCAGGGAGAACCCATCGCCAACGCCACCATCGTCGTGGGGGGCATCAACCACAACATCAAGACAGGTAGGGTGCAGGGTAGGGTGCCATGCAGGGTGCCAGCAGCACCACGCTGCCTTCTTCACACCCTGCTGTCTCCCCTCGCTGTCGGCAGCCAGCGGCGGGGACTACTGGCGCATCCTGAACCCGGGCGAGTACCGCGTCTCGGCTCGGGCCGAAGGCTACAACCCCAGCGTCAAGACCTGCAGCGTCTTCTATGACATTGGGGCCACTCAGTGCAACTTCGTCTTGTCGCGCTCCAACTGGAAACGCATCCGGGAGATCATGGCCATGAACGGGAACCGGCCCATCCGCCGCATCGTGCCTGGCCGCCCTATGACACCTCGCGAACGCATGCGCCTGCGTATGCGCCTCCGGCACCGCATGCGGCTCCGGCAGCAGATGAGGCTGCAACGTCTCAATGCCACCACATCCCCCAGTGGCCCCACGGCCCCGCCGCCCACCACAGCCCTACCCTTCCCCTTCAGCAGCACTGCCTACACACCCTGGAGCCAAGAGCCACCCACAGCCAGCACCTGGGAGACGGAGACCGAAACAGAGGTGGTGACCGAGCTGGTAACGGAGACAGAGGCCTGGGAACTAGGCACAGGGACAGCGCAGCCCTTCACCACGGCCGAGACCTACACCGTGAACTTTGGTGACTAGGAGATGCTTGTCCCCTTGCTCCTGCCTTAGGCCAAGGCCGGATGCTCACAGCTGGTTTGGTTTCGCCTGCCGCAGGCTCCCGCATCTGCTTCTAAAGCCTTCCTCGAGGCCCAGGCAGCCCGCTCTGGGTGGGCTCCAGCTCCTCACCCGCGCTGCTTCCTAGGACTACAGGGCACACCATGCCGATGCTCGCCCCGAACGCTGGGCAGCTGCAGAGCCTCCCCCTTGCCGGGCTCCAGAGCCAGGCAGGAGAGGACATGCTGCCCCGGCCCTCAGGGCTGGGCAGTGCCAGTCCTTGCCTGGCAAGGGAGGGGGTGAAACAGGACCCAGCCCTCGCCCCAACCCCGTCTCCTGGCACAGCAGGGTTGGCAGGGGTGGTCCTGCTCTCCAGGGCAGGGCCCGCACGGAGGCAGGCACAGCCCCTGTCACCTCCACACAGTTTTTTGTTACACAAATAAATCAAGTTATATTGGTACAAGCATCTCTTCTCTCCCGTGCCCCGGCAGCTCCATGCCAGCCCTCCCAGGACAGACAGGGATGACACAAAGGCGGCGGGTAGCAGGACCCTCCGCAGGGCCAGGGATTTATTGAGTCCGTGTCCTGCCTGCTCAGTCAGTGCCCAACCTCCATGTCCCCGTCGTCATCCTCGGCCCCGAAGCCGGAGAAGCTGATGGGCTGGCAGCTGAGGTCATGCAGGTTGACGAGGCAGGCAGTCTGCGTCGTGCTGAAGGTGGGCACCGTCACCAGGAGGACCTGCTGCCCGTCTTGCCCTTCAAAGACAGGTGGGTGTCAGGTGGATGAGCCCCCAGTAGGCACCCCGGTGTGGGGTCCCAACCCCTAGCAAGGATCAGGGGGTGCTGCAGGCTGCGGGACTCACCTTTGAGCACCTTGGACTGGAAGTGGGGAGCGTTACCGCAGAAGTAGACGTGAGGGCAGTCAGTGAGGATGAAAGGGTCCGATTTATAAAAGGGGTAGCAGCCTGGGAGGGATAGAAATTAGGAGGGGAACCTGCACCTGTGCCCCTTTGGAGGGCAAACAGTCCCCCAGCCTCAGCAGCCAGCCAGCCCTTGCCTTACCCAGAGTGTCCGGGGCTGTGGGGCTGATGTGTCCTGCCAGCAGCGTCCACTCCAGGATCTCCAGGTAATCGTCCATGCTGCTGTATTTGAAGATGTCACTGACATTTTGTCCTGATGTCCCCAAAAACCTACAGTATTTTGTGGGAAGGAAGGGGAGATTCAGACAGCTGTACTTGCCACGACCTGCCCCGTGATAACATGCTGCTGGCAGCTGTCACAGCTGGTGGCATACAAGGCTTTTTTACCTGACGCCATCCACATCGGCCTGGTAGGGGTTGGTGACCAGCCGGAGCGTGGAGTAGGCGCTGGCGAGGGGCAGCATGCAGTGGTGCAGTGGCTGCTGGGGCAGCGTATAGTTGGTGGGGTCAAACTCACCGGGCATCACATCCACGGGCACGGAGGCCTGTGGGCAGAGTGGGGATTAACAGGGATGGCCAAACCACCACCTTTCGAAGGGGCTCAGAGCAAAGGCCCGGCTGGAGCTTGCTGCTGGCTCTGCCTGGCTCCCCGATTTGCTCCTGCCACCTCCCCGCAGGAAGCTCTGCTTGGCTTCGCTGCAGAGACCAAATGCCAGGAGAGGGATCTGAAGCTGGGCTGTGCTGCATTCGTGTATGGCACCATACGCGGTGCTCAAAGGGAAGCTGGGGGCTGGGGAAGGGGTGTTTGTCATGTCACACCCCTGGGCTGCTGGCAGAGTGTTACTTCCCTGGCTCGGGAGCCTGGCTCCCTCCCCCAGAAGGTACCCAATTCCCCAGGCAACTCTATCTCGCTCCAAGTGCTCACGCAAAGCTGCAGCAGGATCTCATCCAGCATCTTCACGGCCTCCACGCTTGCAGCCTGGGTCTTCTTGGTCAAGTACTTGGCCTGGGTCAGCAATGAGACAGTGAGGGGAAAAAGCCCGTGCCCCCTCTGACCCCCTCCCTCCCCACCTCTGCAGGACTCTCCGTGCCAGCCCGGGCCCCGGAGCGCATGGTGGAAGCTGAAGAACCCTTCTCTCTGTACCTTGTTGATGGTGTCCCGGCTCTGCGTGTTCTGGCTCAGGAGGTTCCCCGCCAGGATGACGCGAGAGATCTGTGCGGCGCAGCTCTGCTCGCCCTCGGCCCCCAGCTGCCCCGTCACCACGTCCACCAGCAGCTGCATGCTCAGCAGGGACTCGCCGCTCCCGCTGCCCAGCCCCAGCCCCGACACCAGCAGGACGAACCTAGGCAGAGAGGCTTGGGCAGCACGCCATGCTCCCTGCCCGCACCAATCCCTGCCTGCATGGGGATTTCAGGGCTGCCTACACCAAGGGGCTTCAAAGAGCCAGGTGTGGGGGACACGAGACCTTGTCCGTGATCTCTCTTGGCACAAGGCATCTACTCCATTGGGCACATGGGGCAAATGGTCTCCAGGGCTCAGGGATATGGCGGGGGACATGGTGCCAGCTGTGTTCCTGTCACTGCGGAGACTCACCGGTCCGAGCTGGGGCCTTTCCAGGGCAGCGGCTGGGGCAGGTTGGCAAAGCAGTGATCCTCCACCAGGAACTTGCCATTGTCCTGCTCAGAGCCATACACAGCAAAGATGGTCCCTACGGCAGAGAGCGGGTGGTCGGCCCCTGGCCAGGGCCTGCGAGGGGGCGCCCACCAAGAAGCCCTTGACCCTACCTGTCACCAGCCTCTGCACCTCGACAGCTCCTTCCAGCTTGATCCGCTGCAGCTCATCCTCCAGGATCAGCTCATCAGAGGGGTGGATGTACTTGGGCAGGGGTGGCTGAGGCACCAAGTTGTGCTGGCAGGCACAGGGCAGGCTGTGACAGCCTCAGCAAGGCCAAGCTGCCCCAAAGGGCCCTTCTCCACCCCACCCCAGCCC